CCGTCCTCCAGGGCATGAAGCAGGTATGGAGGAGATCAAAACTCCAGACATCCAGAGGCCCCCAGAACACAAGAGACCAAGGAAGACCAACAGAGGGGCAGCCGTGCCACTGTCCCAGAAAGAGCTGAGGAGAGTCCCAGAGGAGGGGTCACTCAGCAGCTGCGGAGCAGAAGCCAGGGGGGGTTGCAGTGACGTGCCCGTGAGCTCCGCCGGCAGCCAGCTGTGCCTGAGTGACCGAGCCCCAGGCCGAGAGGTTTTAATCCTAATTCCAGAAATACATTAACTAACTTTGGTCACAACTGCAAATCCTGTGCAAAGTCATCTCTTCCCAGAACACTGAACATTCTCAGCCAATAGCTCTACTTCCTACATTGTGATAAGTAAATATTTGTGCTGACAAATGTTATAAAATGTGGTTTCTTCAAGAATGGTTTCCATTGTACTGTTAAATCTGTCTGGCACACAAGAAAAAACAAATCAGGAGGGGAACTATAGTTTCCACCTGTGCTCCCATTCCTTGTTCCAGTCATCGTTTGCCATTAATTATCAGGCAGCAGGGAAAAAAAACCCTGAAAGAAAATCTAAGTGCTCCGGAGGAGTGCTCCTGGACTCTGGAAAATATTCCATTTTGGCCACTGAAGCTTTTATATTAACCATTGGCCCATGCTGGAGCTATTCATACTCTTTTCACATTCTTTTGCTTTCAGGAAACGTCTAAAATAACAGCTCCACCCCACAGCTTCATTTGCATTTAGTGCCTCCACTTCTGTATCTCCTACTCCTCTATCATTAATATAAACTCTTTTCTTTCAGGTTAAAATTTAGGAAATGAGGGAATTCTCCTTATTTGCCGCTTTTTTCTTCTTTTTTTCCATAACTCCATAAAGTACAGTGTTTAAGGATGGATGCTACTAAGACTGTCGGGCTGTAGTATCTCTAGGGCATGCACTGTCTCCTATAATTAGTTTGCACTGGGATGTAGTGATGCTCTACGTGCTGCTGTTTAGACCTCATCTAAAGCACGAGGGGCGGGCCCCGAGACAACTTTCCCAACTGGTGATTTGATGAAGGAAGGATTTTCCAGTGTCAGTATCTCAAAGCCGGTTCAGGTTCAGTGTTGCGGCGTTAGTCCAGCCTCCTCACGGTGCACAACTCTCAGGGAACGGAGTGGCTTGCGCTTTTTTCATGAAAGCCCTTTGCCACCAGTGCGAGAGCTGGGCTAAAGGGGAATCGAATCTGAAGGGCCCAGTCTGGCTGTAAGAAGCATCCTTGTACTTTCCCACATGGCGCTGTAGTATAAGCACATTTTTGTGGACTGTCGACGGGATCAAATTGTAAAGAAAGTCGCCCGTTTTCCGTATAGCTGGGGGCGCTCACCATGGAGATGCAAAGATGGACCACCAGGTGGAAAACGAAAAGGTGGCTATGGGATTCAACGCTAATCGTTACGGTCACAGTTATTTTAATTCTCCAGGCTGCCAATGTTAGAGCAGGTAAGATGCTGTTCCTATACACCTCAGTCACTGTGCCGGGTCTAGGGCATCCCTGACAGTTTGAAAGCGCCTCATGCTGGCAGGCAGCCCAGATGCCAGTAGGCTTAGTCGGTAGCTACAAACGGTCTCAGCTTTCATTTCAATTAATGCCCGGTGTCCCGGGCGCCATCACTTAAACTCACCTTAACTCAGTTTATATACATTTTTAGTTGCCAAGTAAACATTTTCCATCTCGTTGCCGGTTTTGTTATTTGTTTGTTTTTGTCAAAGATATTATTTAAAAAACGTAAATACATTTATCAGAAGTATCATAAGAATTCCAAAGATTCTTCTTTTCATAAATGCTGACACCAAAATGAAGCTGTATCATGTGACTTGACAACATATTCAAGATTTCAGAATCTTTAAGGTGGTCTTCCCGGTCACATGTGTCTGAACTTTGTATAATTATCTAAAGCTACATATAGAGAGTTATATAGTTTTAGTGAAACTACTTTAAAGTCATCAACGAAGCTATATATCGTTCAAGAGCGCAAGTGCTATAGAGTGGATTCTTGGCACAAATAGGCGAAGATGTCCCTTTCCTCTGAGTGTGTGAGTGAGTGATGGGTGCCATCCAGGTGTGGTCAGAGAGGGCTCTTAAATCCTTCTTCAGACAAAATAAACTGCAGGTTTTACGCAGAAATTTTACGCTCGACTTTAGGTAGTAATGACCAGGAGCCCACGGATAATGCTTTAAGTTTTTACAGCATAAATATGTAGCAAGAGTCCAACGCTTTAATCAAATCCACAAAATGGTTTAAATGTGGCGGAAAACTTTGGTTCTTTTGATTGATAAGCTGTAGCCTACCATGTTTATTTCACAGTCTGACAGCTGTCAACGGAGTTTACAGTAGCACAGTATAATTTTAAACATATAGGTTTTGTGATGGGTTTTGTAAGTTTATATAATAACTGGGCACGAGACTATGGAAATCTGGGAGGGAGACTCATATTCTGGCCTGAAGGATCACCATCTTTCCACATTATCTGGGCTCCTAGTCCAAGGAGGGGGGAAAAAGAAGAGGGAGGGGAGGGAGGTGGAAAAAAGAAAGGAGTATTTTTCTTTGTTTTGAAAATACACATGTGGGTCATAAAAACGATGAAATTGAAGATCAAATGAAATCACATAGGTATTCATAGTGAACTGTGGCTTTTGCCAAGATAAATTTGTGTGTGTTTCAGAACTATGCATCTGTTTGGGTAGACTTATTTAAACACTTGTATTACTTTGATACCAGGTATGTGATTATTGATCCTTTCAGATGGCAACAGAAAATAAAAATGTATCTTAAGTGGCTATATAAAAATGCTAATCAGAAGATGATATATTGTAACACATAATTTTGGCTAATTTATGCTAACTGGACAAGCCCACCACTGTCTAAATCATCATCATTCATCATTGTTTTTTGTGTACTGTGATACACAACAAATTGATTCAGCAGAGGGAAAATTGCAGAGAAGCAAAATGAAAAGATTATGAAAGCAAATATCTAAGTGGCACAGCTTTCGCACTGCCCATCTTCCTTCATTCTGACAGATATTTCAACTCACCATAATTGCATGATGTGCTAGCAAACATTTACAGGGTTTCCAGTGTACACTAATTGCTGCCTATGCTGCCAACTCTCAGTAGATGGCAGTGACACGAAAAAGACCGACAAGTCATCCCAAGATGCCGCTGCATGACCACAGAGCCACAAAAGACATTAAGTCAAAATGTCACAGATTAAGTTAATCACAAGTCTAAACTTAAACATCAAAATGTATTGCTCTGAGAAGTGTTGGGATGAGGAGAGTTGGACATTTTGCCAAAAAAAAATGTATTTCATAGTGTTAGAGTCTGCTGGTTAAAATGCTTTAATGAATGTAACAGAGGTTTTTCATGTTACTGCACGCTTCATTGCCTGAGGAAGGATCACCAAAGTTTGTTATGTTAGTAGATCGTTAACATGCCAGATAGTATATCACAGGTCCCAGACAGCAAATAAGAAGATCTGTCATTAAAAATCATAGAGACCGACAAATTACCCCTCAGACTAGACTGTGGAGAGTCTGAAACTGCGTTGGTACCTTTAGCACGAGAGAACCGTCTTCTCTCTCTTGTGGTTTTACATCCGTATCATTAGAATATGGTTTATTTCTTTTTAGGGTGGAAAGATGGGAATCTTTTTTCAGTATACGCTATGTTGGCTCGACCTCCTTGGTAGGATGAAGCTGTGCCCACTCATTTGGGATCTTTAAGGGTTTTGGGATATTGCCCGTTTTTCAGGGCTTCTGTGAAAGAATGGTTGTGGAAGGAAAGGAGCTGAAAAGTTTGGGGGAGGACAGGGGGGTGATGGGATGCTGGTGGGTGGGTCTGTGGGGGGTTCCTGGCCAATTCAGCACATCTGGAATATATGAGGCCTTGAGGTATGCAGTAATGCAGAAAGGCATTCTGAAACTCACAAAGAGACCTTTAGTCCAAGCTTGACTTTTTTCAAGAACCAGTAGCTCTGTACTTGGGACAATACTCAGAAGAGCCACAGACTGTATTGCTTTTTATGAGGCATTTTTTGTGAGGTTTAAAACCTGGCAGTCAGTTTCTCTCTTTTTTTTTTTTTTAAAGTATGTCTGTGTTTGAGTCAGAAGTCACTCCGTCTGTTAAACTGCTTTTTGTGCAGTGTCAGCAAAAAAAGAAAAAGCCTTAAAAAATAGATTTTTAGCAGCTTGCCTAACACATGCTCAACAAATGAAATTCAAGAATTGTGCACTATGGCACCAGATTATCTGGAGCAATATCAGCATAAATGCCTCGAGGAGCAGATCTGGAAAGCTTCGCGTGACCTAAAATTTCAGACCCGACCCCTGAGCATGAGCGGGTTGATTCTCCACTCAAGTTGTTATTTTTCTGGTCACGGGAGAAGTAGCTACAGGGATGGGGCCTTCTCACTTTAGTCTCGTGTATGTTTTAGTTAGGGGGGGTGGGGGGGGCTACAGGGAGTGGTGCCAGTATAAAAAGCCATAATGGTTTCAGCATGTCGACTTATAGCACCACCCATTAGACCTTTTCTTGGTTCCTAAAAGTGAACAGGAGCTGCTACATCAGCACTTCCTGTCTTTTTGTGCCACATGACTAAAAAAAATGGAAAATGTACAGCTGAATATTTATATAAAAATTCCTTCAGCATTATGTTTTTATGTTTCGAGAAAAGCCACAATCTAAAGGTATGGTGAAAGGCCAATTCAAATTAGGCTGTGGTTTGCCTAAAAAAAACAAACAAAAAAAAACAACAAATGGTTGTTTTTATGAAACTTTACATTAAAGTTATTGAAATATGATGTATGTGCTATTTTGATCTTTACTTCATATGTTTTAACCAAATTTTCCTCCCATGTCATAGAGTTTAGCTGAGTAGTGTAAGTTCAATGAGGAGACTTTCGGCAATGTAAACTTCAGGAAAGGCTTTTGTCTGATCCCCTTTAATAATTTTCCCACAAAGTTTTCTTGCCAGTATCAAACACATTAATCTAGGTTTTTTCCTGGCAAGGGAGAGTTCCCTTTAAGCCTATCATCTCCCTTTCTTTAAAGTCCTTCTGGTCCCTGTGAGATTTTAAGCTGACCATTCAGACATTGTTTATCATTACTGGGCCTTTGAAGAGGACACATCCGGCTCCTTGACTCATTCAAAAGACAAATGTGTTGTGTGATATCTGGACACAGTTGTCCTGGTTTTTATTTCTGTGGTTTCTGTAGCTGTTAAAGGAAAGTATATACTTGGTTTGTAATGGCGATTCAACTGTGCTGAACCTAAGTTTAAAGGGGACCTGTTTTGCTTATTTCAACCTATGCGCTTTTATTCATAGAGTCTACCAACTATCATTGCATGATTCACAATTTGCTTAGTTTATTCAGTATCTGAAACAATCTGTTTGAGCTCCCTTATACTTCCTTAGACCAGCTCTTCTTCTTCTGATTGGTTGGCCCTTCCAAGGTGTGTTCAGCAGAGGTTTGGGGCATCTGTGCTTACAGCAAAAAACTGTGCACCTGAAATGACCATATTAGGCAAATCTGCCCGGAGTAGAAAGAAAACCGTATGAAATGGAGCTCCTGGAAGGTTGTGCTTTTGGCTCATAGGGATTACTTGCAAATACCTCATTGTAACACCCACTATAACAGCACATACAAGACCGAAAATAAGCAAAAGCACGATAGTCCCCTTTGAAAATTAAATATCCACTTTTAATGTTTCATTAAGATTTGGTTAAAAACATGTTTCTCGCCAATACTGCAGAACATTTGTAGCGCTCAAGTTTTAATTTGTCACAGTAAACTAACATTTACTATGCAGAGATTATATAACATTTGGTGTGTGTCATTAAAAAAGCTAAATTATGGGAAGTGTTTGATATTTAAATTTTTGTGAAATGCTTGCATGCTATTAGCAACTAAAACTTCAAACGTAGCGCTAACAAACATATGTTAAAAAATCAATCATAGCTTTATTACTGACTTCTTATATAAAGCCAGGCTATGTAACTTTTGAAAGAAAACAACATATTTAGGACTGAAACATTAAAGCTGTTCCACTACTTTCGGGGGTTTTGTTGTTGCTGGTATGGTATTACCAGTAGCCTGTGGTGGCTCATATTTATGTTAGCTAATATTACCTTCAAATAGCTTCTGTGTAACTGGTTGGGACCTGCATTTGAAATTTGAGCTGCCCATTACTAGCACAAGATTGATGAAGTCAGGGTGTGATGGTAAGGGTAATATTAGCTTTTTGTAGATACATCTTAAGTTTTGTGTGTCAGTCTAAAATACACTATGTAAGCCAGCCTTAAAAACACATATCGTTGTTTTAATACAGTCAGAAAGTAATGTTGCAGTATTAAATGTCTGTAAAATGAATAGACTGCATTGGTGATTGCTGATAGGTCTACACATTTCTTCCATTTACTTTCCCATGCAAGACAGCACTCCTAATTATCTTTGAATGCTGACTTATTCTTACTGTATGTTTTTCAGCAAATGCAGCCTCGGGCAGATATGCATTAATCCACACATTACGTTCTTCTGGACGTCAACCCTTCCGTTTCTACACAAACCTTAAAGATAGACTATTAGGCTACCCAAATCCCCTGTAATTACAGTGTAACTAATGATGTGCCTCAAGATAGGGTTTTAAGAAGAAAAACAGTTTGAGAAAGAGACATGCGAAAAAACAGACTAGGCTGGAGTAAGCGTTTGATAATTGGAGGAGAGAGAGCAAATGGGAAATAGTTTTTATAGCTGTTCTGTGCAGTTTCACCTCTGACTTTCAGATCCATTGATAGAAAAGAGCTTAGTAGTGTTAAGAAGCTTGTAAAGCTACCCCTTGCTGTGTTCTCCTTATTCCAAAGACCCAGTGATCAGCAGCAATGATTTTTATCATCCCATAGATGCTGTGGCTTTTAGCTGTGGGGGTAACCGGGGAGGTAAGGAGGGGGGCAATTATGTCTGCTGGTTTCTAACATTTTTATTGCTCCTCTGCCAAGGCAGCTCATAAAGCAACAACTGGTTGAACTGACAGGTTTGGCCAAGAAAAAGCTTGAAAAAGCAAGGGGTGTAATGGGTGTAAATGCTGATTTATCATCAAAATGCCAAGTTGGATTAGACTTTCTGTTAACTATGCTTATAGTGTACTGTAAAGTTACATGCAACATAGACACTAAAAACATAATAAAATAAAAATTAAATTAATCAATCAATCAGCTCAGCTTTCATTTTGTTCAACTGGTATTTTATTTAACTACTTATATTTATAAGTATAAGCACTTAGTATAGGTTTAGCAATTGGTGATATGGTCATTCAGACTGAGGACTCACTTATTCACTCAACTTTTAAGAGTTGCAACTTTGTAACAGTATCTCATTTACAGGGTAGCTTCTCATCATGGAAGTAGTTTTATTTACAACTACTAAAATTTACAACTGTACATGAAAATCTGACATGAGTTTGAGTCTTATTTTCACATTGACATTTTAGAGCCTTAATAAAGTAATCATTTTATTTTTTGTGGTTGCAAAAATTGTGTTTTAGTGCATTACTAATTGTCGTATAAGAAAAATTGTTGATGATTTTTATCAATTCATTGTTCTCTCTCTCTACAGCTGAACCCGTGGATGTACTGAAGGTGCTGGACTTTCAGAGCTCTCCTGAAGGAATAAGGAAAACAGCAGGCTTCTGCACAGTGCGGAGAGGATCCAAACCCGACGCAGCTTATCGAGTGGGAAAAAGGGCTCAGCTCAGTGCTCCGACTAAGCAGCTTTTCCCAGGTAAACGCCTCACTTCTCAGCATTTACACTGAAACTGAAACAGTAGTACAATAGTAGGTCTTCCATAAAGCAGATAAACAAACAAACGCTCCCAATTTTAAATGCTAGAGACCATAGAATGATTATAAAATGAATCTTGAGGATTACACAAGTTGTTGAGAGCTTTATTTTATTGATCATATATGTTTGTGGTAGTGTGGAATATGCACTTTAATTTGACTGTTTTTACATAATTTGACCAGTTCATTTCAGATATTAGTAATGGAAATTGCCATCATATTGCATAAAACCTTAAGCACTTAAAATAGCCTTCCTGTAAGATAAGCTACAACTAACATTGTACAACAATACTAGAACCTGTGTGAGGCTTTCTAGACAACTGCTAATATTTGCATTGTAAAATTATTGCAATTGAAGGCATCAGGTGATGTAAAGTGTAAGGTTAAGCAAGTAAGGTTGAGTAAGTAAGGTTGATTTAAAAAGTTTTGGTGCTTTTAGGTCAAAGGCATTGTAATTCTGACCCAATTTGGGGGTGAAATGTTGCCAAATTAGCAGTTTTTAGAATTCATCCATCGTGGAAAATGTATCATGGAACTTCATCCAATGCTGGCATAGAGATTTTAGCCGAGAAAAAAGTGTTAGGGTGGCAGATATCTGTGAAGCTATGGTGGTTGCATGGCTGCTCAAGCCAATTGTTGTTTGGATTAAAGTATGATGATTAAGTTATATTTTCTTGAACCACTGAATAACAAAGTTTTAAAAAAAGAGTTAAAGATGATTGTATTTCACAAAGAAATAACAAAGAATGATTTGATAAATGACTCATAAAATCCTTTAGTGTTAAAGTCTGTCTTTTAAAATCCAGTGCAGACTTTCCAGAATCATCTTCTAGAGGATGCCAATGAATTTCAGTTTGCTCCAAGAACCCATAGGGGATGGTAATCTACAATGGTGCGTGTAAACACATGGCTAAAGTAAGCGGAGCAGCACTAGATTTTTGTTATTTGATATTTTGGTAAAACCGACAAATCTGTTACAAAAAAAAACAACAAAAGCATGTCTATTGTTTTGTACACTGATCTCGTCCAACAAAGTGTCTTTCCTCAAGTTTGATTGCTGGCAGATGCAGATGCCCAGTCTGTGGTTAAGGTAGTGAAATTTAGAAGGGTTTGTCATATTGTATGTGCATTTAGAGTGTGTTTGCCCTTCTGTTTTTGAGAGGCCACATTTATTTTATTAGGCTGTTTTTGAGAACTTAATCCATATTTATTTTATTAGGAAGTAGATTTTAAACAAAACTCGGCAAATCCCAATTTCAGTAATCAGTTGCAGAGAACAAAACCTTTTGTCTACTAACAGAAGCAAATATGCCAAATATCAAATTTTTAGTTGATTTTTTAAGTCTGAAATGTTAGAAAATCATGGTGTTCCTGTAAAACATAGGACAACCTATGGGAGAGAGAAAACAAAATGTATTCACATGCAGGAGTGACTTATAAAAGTATGGAGAGTGATAAGGGGAAGCGGAAATGCTCAGTGTATCATAGGAAGTTCCCCAGCAGCCTGAGCTTATAGCAACAAAACTAATACGTGTGTTCTAGTTTCCCCATCTGCAGGTTTACTAGGCCTTTCTTGGGTCTGAGTGGCATAAATTTTGTCATCAGTTGGTGAACAGGAAGCTCTAAGCAGACATCCATGTGCCTGCCACTTTTTTGTAACCATGTGGACTTGTTCAAAGAGACTTTACAATGCACCAACCTACACCCTGTCACAGGGAAGTGAAAGGAGTCAAATAGGAATGAATCTGGGCTAGGGCCAGAGTGTCTGTTTCCACAATAGAGTATCTCCAATGAAGGGACCGTTCACCTGATTTAGACCTAACTATATCCTTTATATCAAAAAGCAAAATTTAAACCGACTTTCAGAAGTAGAAAAGAACTCTGTTTTTCAAACCCAAACTGGAAGCTTGGTGCAGGAGAACCATATGTTGAAGCATCTGCCTCCCAATCTACCTTTACAAGCTTGAGGAACCACAAGTAGAGCTGCACACTGAGACTGAGAAAAATATGAGATCTCTTTCTAGTCCCCCAAATTATAATATACCACTGCTGCTTGCATGGCTGCTCAAACAAATCATGCCTCCCTTTGCGGCCTGTTATTCATTTACTACTAGGGCAAAGTTTAGAAATGGTCCCCAGTTGCTTACTTACTCAAAATGGACTTCCAGCAAAGTGAGAGAAATTTATTAGGGATTCATTGCTGTGAAATGAAATGTCCCAGTCAGTGCAGTATGTGTTACTCTTTCTGAATCTGGCTACATTTCAAAGAGCAAAAAGAAAGACTAAAATGCAGTAATTGAAGGAATTAGAAAATAAGCCTGTGTAATTTTTGGCTTAACTGGACAGCATGCTCGTGTTCACTAATGGAAACTTGAGTAATATAAGTGAGCCTGAGAGGTGAGGTGTTGGAGGTGTCATGAAGTATAGTGTCAAAATGTCCTCAGTCAGAATAATTGGACTTTTATTTGGCTAGTATTAGTTATTTTTTCATTGAACCAAACTATTATGTTCACAAAAAATATGACATTTGTTTGAGTTGCTGTATTTATAGCCCTTGTAAAGTTAATACGGCTGCATCACCACTACCAAGGCCTTTCAGGACATGCCAAGGTTTCGTTTAACTTCCCCAGTAAAACGGACTCGCGTCCAGTGGTCTAGACTCTGTGGGTTAATCTGAGGAGAGAAAGTTGAAGCAAAAGCAGTTCTCTCTACTAATTACAATACAATTGCCCTAGTTATAACATCAGAAGAAGGTTTGTAAGACAGGGCACAAGGTAAAAGGAAGTCTCCAGTAGCACAAATGCTTCTTAAGGGAGGACAGTTTGAAAGTTTTTAATTAGTACTAGCAAAATACACACTCTTTGCCCATGAGCAAGTAAAAACACTGACATGTTTGTTAATTTATCATGTCCTTCTGTTTATGTTCATTATATCATTGTACACAGTGAGATGGCAAAAAGAAGTGTTGATAAACACCAAACAAATGAAATAATAAAGACATATTGTTCTTCTTTGCCAGCTACTCACTACACTTCATTTGATTCAGAAATGAAGAAAACCCTCCTGGCCAAAAGTTCCATAAGAGATATTTTTTATTAAACTATTAAAACTATCTTGGTTCTGCTATGTAGCTTTCATGTCTGCTGTTTTATCGTTACATTGCTCTTAATCAGAATATTGGTGTAAAACATGTTCATTTCAGCAATTTTAGGACTATATAAACTCTATATTCATCTTTACTAATGTGACAGCCCACTATTTCTCTTACGTGTTCCACCTTTAGGGGGGGTATTCCCAGAGGATTTCTCTATAGTGTTTACCATCAAGCCCAAGGCTGGCCTCCAGTCCTTCCTGCTTTCTGTGTACAACCAGCAAGGCGTGCAGCAGCTTGGAGTAGAGGTGGGCCGTTCCCCTATCTTCCAATATGAGGACCAGCATGGCAAGCCTGTCCCAGACGAGTACCCTTTGTTCCGTTCCGTCAAACTTTCTGATGGCAAGTAAGTGACGGAGCGCTTTAACACACTAGAAGAGAAAATGTAGATGAAAGACTTTTGTGTCCCCTAAATAGTACCTTTTCTATGCCACGTGCAGTCATCCCATTATCTCAGCAATATCTCAAAATCTGGAGTTTGTTTGTTATGGAAATTGTGAGGTTAGCTCACAAGCAGTACATTTAGGGTAATTTTTTCTATTTTAAAAGATTCAGGTTATATTTTGTGCTAAGCAGAACCGCTCTGTTTAGTATTTTCTCAGGCACTCAGTGCATACTTAACTCTTCCAGCCTGGTAAACTGACATGCAGCTCTGCACATTTATTATCATCATATGTTGTTCAGTCATTAACACCATATGGAACAACTCAGACAGTAATGGCAAATAAATTGCTGGCAACAATTTAATGACAGCCTTTCTAAATTATTTACAGCTACACTGCTATACTGATATGCAGTAAAGGACAGGGTTCTCATAGCTGTCCAATGAAGCTGAAACAAATCATTGTTAAAAGTTGCCAGCAATCTTTCATATAAATGCCAACAGAAATGCCTTGCAGCGATTTCATGAGTTGTTCTTTGTTGGTGATAAATAGTGAAAATATACAGCTCGATCAATGCTTTTAATTACAATTTTACAAAATGTGTGGCTAGTAGAGCACTATGGTTTACACATTTTGTCAAAGCTACCTTTGTATTTTTGAATAAACCAAGACTAAAACACTGACAATATTTAGACCAAGGCTTTTGCACACACTTTTTCACTTACCTTATCACCAACTATAGGTATATTTCCTTGAATACTCAAAATGTCAGAGTCATCAGAATCAGAATACTTTAATAATCCCTGAGGAAATTATGTAGATATGTGGAACATGTGGATCCATTCATAGGACTAGTCCAACTAGTTTGAAAATACTCACATGCTCTTCTGGCAAAAACTGAAGAATACTTTCATAGTTAACCAAAAACAACTTTTGCATGTACTTTTTGGAAATTTATGCATAGCTCTCCAGATGCCACAAGGCAAATAGCACTGTGCCAGTGCAAGCTGGTACATTGATGCCAGGCTAGCTGTTTTAACCTTCTACACATTAGACTAAGTTAAGCTAAGCTACATACGCTCATCGGCCACTTCGTTCAGTGGACCAGCTCAACTGCTTTTGAACTTCAGCTAATCCTGATAAGCTGTTGAAGTTTAAAATAAGCATAAGAATGGAGAAGAAAGGCAATTTAAGTGACTTTGAGTGTGGTTGTAGGTACCAGATGGGCTGGTTTGAATATTTTAGCAACTGTTGATCTAGTGGTATTTCCCTATATACAATAATCTATAGGGTTTACAGAGAATGGCCTGCTTTGATCTGATTGGAAGCAGCAGCATCATTTACAAGTGTTGTTGCTGACCATGAGTATCCCTTTATGATCAATGTGTATGCATCTTCTGATGGCTGCTTCTAGTAGGATAGTGTGTCATGTCACAAAGTTCAAATAATCTCAAATGAGTTTCTTGAACAAGTGAATAAGTTCACTGTACTGACCTAAAGATCTTAGTCCGATAGAGCATGTTTGGGATGTAGTGAAATGTGAGATACATATGATGGATGCTGTCCTAGCAATATGAACCAAAATCTCTGTTTTCAACACCTTGTCAAATTTGTGCCTCAAAAGAATTAAGGCAGTTTTGAAGGCAAACGGAGATCTAAACCAGTACTAGCTTGATCTAGCTAATAAGTCCTGTGACTGTATTTACCAGTATAATCATATAGAGCTTCATATCCAACTCCAGATGTGATAGCAAATACTGGTAAGCGTTTCCACTTCCTAAACTAAATGTTAACTATTCCCTTAGCCGTGGACTGAAGCAGTTTTCCTAAAACTCAGAGGGTCATTGTTGTATTTCTGATGTCCTTCTTTGTTAAACAGATGGCATCGCGTAGCTATCAGTGTGGAGAAGAAGAGCGTTACCATCATTGTGGACTGTAAGAAAAAGGTGACAAGACCACTCGCCAGAAGTGACCATGCCATTATCAGCACAGAGGGCATCACAGTCTTTGGCACCCGAATCCTAGATGAAGAGGTCTTTGAGGTATGACGGCCATATTGAATATCTTCTCACCTGAAGTATTTTCTCTGTGTGGTTGGTGGTGTTTATGTTGTGAAATGATTTAAAAGACCGTTGTCAAATTTGGGACTAATTTGTTTTACAGCAAGCGAGGCAATAAGACAAGAGAAACTTATACCATGCGGTGTGTGAATAGCTGCAAGCCTGTTGCACTCATATTGTTGCTTTAATGCTTTCCTAGACTGGATCTGGGCAGAAGACTTGAATACAGTTTTTTTTTTTTATTATATAGAGTATGATCATTTTTACGGAGTTATGGGTGTACAAAGTCTGCAAAGATTCAGTACTATACAGGTAAAAACCTGCTTACACATAATTCCAATAGGAATGTCTTACATATGTATATTGCAGACATTCACCAATAGATTGCATTCATTATGCCTTGAAACTAATACAGAAAACTGACCTAGATGCCAACAATTTCTCTTTTCTGTTTAAGCTTAATTGCACGCACATTGTGAGTATTATTCTCAATGATTTCCATTTAACGCCGTAACAATTTTAGTTTGTAATACTTAGAGTCCAAAAGCTTTAAGGCCAGACATTTTATTTGCCTTTCATTCTGTGTGCATATATATAATAGAGAATTATATTGGCCAGAACAACAATATTGGCTTTGTATACTTGGCAAGAGCCATAGGCAATGTTATTGTGAAGGCTACTCGCACAGTGTGCTACTCAATGTGTTTTTTTTCTCTCAGCACTAATTTGATTTGGATATTTAACTACAAAGGAAATAAAGGGGTCTGTTTGATGTCGACTGCCTAAACTATATTATGCTTTTTTATGAATTAATTGTGTCACAATTGATCAGTAACTGTGAGAAGCAGAATCAAAATTAAGAGGACAGTGATAAAATGGTTCTGGGAACTGGGAACTTTGTGCTCAGCAGCAGATGTGAAATAAATGATGGCATGAAACGCATTAGGCTTGCTTGGAGGCTAGCTGAATGTAGAATGCTTGCTAAGTTGGGCAGTCAGCAAAAAGTTTGCTTCTAGGTCAGAGATGCCTTTCCACAGTGAAACCACTTGAAATTGTGATGTTGCTTCTCTTCACTTATTTTTTTTCCCCATGTCGATTTACAGCTTTATTTTTATGCATATGTCATTAACTATAATGAAATAAATTAGTTTTAAGTCATAATGAATGAATGAATTCCAAAGTGATTTCTGGTTAATATAATTAAGGTGAATAAGATTAAAGGGGATAAAGTAAAAACTTACCACAGTCATTCTTTCCTGTTTTTAAGTCTGATTTAATAGTTCTCATTTGGCTTGCGTGAGTGTTCTTTGTTTCAAAATACAATAAGCTAAATGATATTAAATTACAGAGCAATTTAGGATGTGCTCTTTGTAAAACCTAGAAAGAAGAAAATGATTCCTTGTGTTCCAAGACGTTTTTTATGATTTGCAAGGTGTTTTTGATCAGTGCATCACACAGTAAGCTCCAGCTAGAATTGTATCTTAAGCTGTAATTATTTCCACTTCAAGTGTAATAACATAAGACGTGTTGATTTTAAAATTGCTACTTGTGGGCAAGCTGCACTGTTTTTGGAAAAAATTCTTACTGGCCACAAAGATGTTGGTTAGCATATTCCTATAGATAAAAGCGTGTTTGAAAGTATATGAAAGCCATGTGCTATGTTTAGAGTTTTCTCATTAAGTTATGCATTGGGATTCTTTGTAAATTTACAGCTGTTATAGGCATATCACAGAATACCTTGTAGGCTGCGGAAACTTTTAGAAGACTTTCCGGACTATCTCGATAAATGTATTGTGAAAATTTGAAACAGCTTTGCAATCAGCAGACCAGTTCTTTCATAGTCTTTTATATATAAAATGTATTCATGTTAAAAATTTGTGGAGGTACACCAAAAATGATGTTTTCACTCTAAAATGTTGAATTCATTTCAGTTGGATTTCTATCTGACTTGATTACATAGCTGGTGGAGAAGACATTGTGTTTTTTAAAAAATGCTTTGAGTCTAAGAGGTGCCTTATAACATTCATGCCTGTATACTGAATACAGAGCTATGAGTCATTCACCTTAGTGTAGCGTGACGGCTGGGAGTAAGAGTTACACCTGACTTGCTTTGAAGTTTTAAAGGATGCCTACCAAATCCTCTAAAGCTTCAGATATAGATAAATTCATTAATTAACT